ATTAGCGAGTCACATCATTGACAACTCTGGGGACTGCGAGAGCACGCGCCGGCAGGTCCTGAGGCTGCATGCCCGCCTGGAGGATTCCCTGGACTTCCTCTGGGCACGGCTGGCCATGGGCACGGCTGTGGCGGGCCTTGGAGGGCTTGTGTACTTCCTCCTCCGGCATTTCATCTCTTAATTCACCTTTTTTTTTTTTTTAAGGTGTTTTTTTTTTTTTTGGTCTTCTAAGAGCTTGGATTTCCAGGTTTGAAAAGGGCAGTGAAAGGCCACCTATTTTAATGAGCTTTGCCAGCTGAATGCAGACAGTAAGGCGAGGCATCTCCTTGCAGACTTCCCAAGGTGAATATGAGTTTTTTTTGCAGCACCGTCTCCCACCTACTTTCTTTAAATTCCTGCCCAGGTACTTAGTGCTATGTTTGTGGGGCGGCATTGCTCTGGGGTACAGCTGCCTGCAAAACGGGTGAGGCCCTTGTTATCCCTGGGCTGATCTATACGGCAGGACTTCAGCCCCTGCTTCAGCCTATGGTGAGTTAGGCACTTTGAAGTCTTCCAGGACAATCTCTTTAGTGGGGGAATACGTGGCCTCTTGAGTCCTTTTCCTGCTATCGGCCATCCCCAGGTTGGTCCCTTCCTAGTACTTGGCCCTGGCTAATCTGAGTTTAGATGAGGGATATCTTCTTCTTTCATGGAGATTTAATGGAAGGACCTTAAATCTGTCCACGGGGGACAGGTGATGCATCATCTCGCATGGAATAGGTGTTCAGCTGACTGCTTGCAGTCCCTCAGCCCTGCATGTCTGCCACAGCAGCCTAAGTAATCCTGTGATCGTTACTTGTGGGTCACCCCCTGCCAAAGGTGGGTGAGTGCCATGGCCTGTTGAGGGTCTGGCACATCCTTGGAGGGGGCTGAGACTTGAGACCTGCCTCAGAGAAATGCATTTGCTGCTGTTTGAGGTTTTTTCCTTCAGCGGTTCCCTGGGGGAAGAGCGCGAGCCTGGGCGAAGCAGGTGCTGGCTCGTCACGTTCTTTTTAATAAAGTGCTAAACAGCAGACGGCTCCCTGTGGTTCTAAAATTTCCGGGCTGCAAGCGCTGCTCTTTCCTAGCCTGCTCCCAGGTTGTTTCTACGCTGGGGCAAGGCTGACGCTTGGTAAAGTTCACTGCTCACAAGCCAAGTTTATGAGCGCGGTTGCACTTTCCCGAGCACGGTCCCTCTACGGTCCCAGGGAGCTTTGCGGAGCGTCAGCCCCGCGGCACGAGCCAGGGAGCGTGGCGGAGCGTCAGCCCCGCGGCACGAGCTTCTTCGGCAGCACGGAGGGCAGGGCCGTGGCTCGGCCCCAGGGCTGAGCAACCACAGGCAGGTTGCGGGCTCCGGGCGATGGCTCAGGTCGTGGCTCTGGGCCCCGTGCGGTGCGGATCAATGTTTGTACCGCAATAGCGCAGAAAGCTCCTAACTGAAGGCTGCTGCGTCCTATGGTGTGAGCAAGGGTGGGAAGGAAAGCAGCCCCATGACTTGCTGTGGTTTCTGAGATTGAGTCAGTGCTCTACCCCCTAGGCAGCCCTGTCCTGTTGCGTGTTGAGGTGTTTTAAGAAAGGTGGGTGCAGAGATGTTGGAGGCTTGAGGGATGCTGCCTGCTGCTCAGCCACTTCCTGCCGATGTTGCCGTGGTCTGTGCGCTTTCCCTGAGATGCTCCAGGGCACCCGGGCTCTGATTCACCTCGCCACAGTCCCCGGTGAGCTCGGTGTTCGTGTGCCAGGTGGGGACGAAGCATGGCGAGGCAGTGTGCTCCATGCCCCCTGCACCAGCCCTGCCAGAGGCACCTTTCCCAGGGCAGCACGGATCTGCCTAGCTGGTGTCCGGCCCCCTTTCCCCTGCCGCCCGTGCCACCTTCCTGGTGCTGTGAGCCCGGCACTGCTCCTAGGAGCCCACTCCTTGCTGCCCACCATGTGTGCTGGCATGTCCCTCTGTCACTTTGGGCACTTGCAGAGCAGCAAGCCCAGCATCTCTGGTCTGGGCTGACTCCAGGCACCTGGGAACGTTGTAGGTATGAATGGGTGAATCCTTGGGGATTTAATGATGCTCTGGAGCAGCAAACATGGTGCTGGCAGTGGTAATGATGAAACCGGCTCTGGCTTGGTGCCATGGGCAGCTGCAGCCATGGTAAAGCATCCCTGAGCTCCCCAACCCAGCCAGCCTGGGCACCCTGGCTCTGCGGGGCAGCGCTGGGAGGAGCTGGACACAAGCAATAACCCTCTGCCATCCTTCGCTCTCTGCACCCAGCCCACTGCCTGCTTTTTAATGTGCCTTTAATTGCGGTGGCAACACGGGTGCTGGGAGTCCCTCCCAGCAAGCCATAAATCAGGACTGGAGCAGGACGGTCTAAGCCAGAGATAAGCACTGATTGCATTCCTCCCTCCTGGCTCGCCTGCCTCCGCGATAAATGGGGCTGCGATGAGGCCAGGGGGAGCGAGATCGGCCCAGTAATCACATTTGGCGCTTTGCTCCTGGCCTGCTGACGTTT